GTGTTTGTCTTTTTCCTTTATAGCTTGTTCCTACAGGATGCCCATGAGTCAAAACTGCATTTGCCATTTCCAGCAGAGGTTATTAAAGATAATGTTTGTTCCATATAAATCACTCCGACAGCCTGGATTACCTTACTGGAACATTAGCACCAGAATGCCTTAATAGTGTGAGCAACAGCCTATGACTCAAGACACCAGGGTTTTATTCTCAACTCTTTGTTTTAGTATTTATTTTTTGTATTGAAATAATGCCTTAGAACCCCTGTAACAGACTGGATCCCCATCTTGACTGATTCAAAACAAAAAGACAGTCCCTGCCCTGAACAGCCGACAGTGCAAATAAATCTGGAGAGGGAGTATTAGAACAACAAAGACAGGATCAGACTGGTACATAAGCTGGCTATTGCATAACTTACCATTTCTTGATGGTTCCAACCATTTGATTGTATGCATGTGTGTTTGCCTATTTTATTTTTAACAAACAAAAGCAGCCCTTGCCATTTGATGCCCAACCAAACCATGTTTGATCGATTTCTTGTAGGAACAGTAGGGATTGAAGAGAGATTTGAAGTGGGGTCAGGGAATATGTTTAAAGGTAATGGGAATAATTATAACATATTACTATGTACAGTCATTGCATACATACTTTGTAAATTAATAGTTTATCACAAAATAGCAACATTTTCTTTAAATTGGTTTTACAGAGGACATCTTTACTCAGAGTAAATTAATAACTTACATTCACAACCCCCTCCACTTTTCACATAGAATCATTGAATACTAGAACTGGAAGGGATGTTGAGACTGACCATCCACCATCTAGTATAGATCTTGTGGATAAGGGAGAAGCGGTGGATGTGGTATACCTAGACTTTAGTAAGGCGTTTGATACGGTCTCGCATGATATTCTTATAAATAAACTAGGTAAATACAACTTAGATGGGGCTACCATAGGGTGGGTGCATAACTGGCTGGATAACTGTACTCAGAGAGTAGTTATTAATGGTTCACAATCCTGCTGGAAAGGCATAACAAGTGGGGTTCTGCAGGGGTCTGTTTTGGGACCGGCTCTGTTCAATATCTTCATCAATGATTTAGATATTGGTATAGAAAGTACGCTTATTAAGTTTGCAGATGATACCAAGCTGGGAGGAGTTGCGACTAATCTGGAGGATAGGGTCATAATTCAAAATGACTTGGACAAATTAGAGAAATGGTCTGAGGTAAACAGGATGAACTTTAATAAAGACAAATGCAAAGTGCTCCACTTAGGAAGGAACAATCAGTTTCACACATAGGCTATGTCTAGACTGCATCCTTTTTCCGTAAAAGGGATGCAAATTAGACGTATCGCAATTGCTAATGAAGCGGGGATTTAAATCTCCCCCGCTTCATTAGCATAAAAATTATCGCAATTGCTAATGAAGCGGGGATTTAAGTGGCTGCTGCTTTTTTCGGCTCGAAGCTTTGCAGGAAAAGAGCGCCAGTCTAGATGCAGATCTTTCGGAAAATAAAGCCTTTTCCGAAAGATCTGCATCTAGACTGGCGCTCTTTTCCTGCAAAGCTTCGAGCCGAAAAAAGCAGCAGCCACTTAAATCCCCGCTTCATTAGCAATTGCGATATATCTAATTTGCATCCCTTTTATGAAAAAGGGATGCAATCTAGATGTATCAATACAGAATGGGAAGCGACTTTCTAGGAAGGAGTATGGCAGAAAGGGATCTAGGGGTTATAGTGGACCACAAGTTGAATATGAGTCAGCAGTGTGATGCTGTTGCAAAGAAAGCAAACATGATTCTGGGATGCATTAACAGGAGAGTTGTGAGCAAGATACTAGAAGTAATTCTTCTGCTCTAGTCTGCTCTGGTTAGACCTCAGTTGGAGTATTGTGTCCAGTTCTGGGCACCGCATTTCAAAAAAGATGTGGAGAAATTGGAGAGGGTCCAGAGAAGAGCAACGAGAATGATTAAAGGTCTAGAGAACATGACCTATGAGGGAAGACTGAAGGAACTGGGTTTGTCTAGTTTAGAAAAGAAAAGATTGAGGGGGGACATGATAGCAGTTTTCATATATCTAAAAGGGTGTCATAAGGAGGAGGGAGAAAACTTGTTTATCTTGGCCTCTGAGGATAGAACAAGAGCAATGGGCTTAAACTGAAGCAAGGCAGGTTTAGGTTGGACATTAGGAAAAAGTTCCTAACTGTCAGGGTAGTCAGACACTGGAATAAATTGCCCAGGGAGGTTGTGGAATCTCCATCTCTGGAGATATTTAAGAGTGGGTTAGATAAATGTCTATCAGGGATGATCTAGACAGTATTTGGTCCTGCCATGAGGGTAAGGGCCTGGACTCGATGACCTCTCGAGGTCAGACCGGTGCAGACCGATGGAGGACATATGGATGCCATGGGAGTTACAGGCAAGCATCCCTTTACAAACAAGACAGCCTTGAGATAAACACTAGGAAGGAGGCACCAACACACTGATGCAAATGACAAAGAAGAATAACTTCCAGATAAACAGATGCTAAAATGGTAATTGATTAATACTGATGCAGCAAAATATATAGACTTGAATGGGAGAAAAGTCTATACATTTTGATGGGATGTCTTGCATGCACCTCCAGGTCTCTTATCAAGTTCGGAGCATCAATCTGGACCGAGAGAAGGCCCTGCTCCTTCCCCTCGCATTTAACTTGCCTGGCCAGTGAGTAAATGTGAGCAACAGACTGGTAACTTTAAGCAATGACAATACTGTGTGTTTGTGTGTGCATGTGGTAAGTGTGAATATGCATATAACAAAATAATGTTACATTGTCAATAAATGTGGCATTTTGCCTTTCCCCCTAAAAAAGAGATCCTGTGAAATTCTTTCAGGTATCACATCCAATCACCACCAATCTTCTTGTTGAAAACCAACACAAAGAAGTCGTTAAGCACTTCTGCCATTTCCACATTTTCTGTTATTGTATTTCCCACTTCATTGAGCAACGAGCCTACCTGTCCTTGATCATCTTCCTTTAATATATTTCTAGAGTGTTTTCTTGTTACCCTTTATGTATCTAGCTAGATTAAACTCATTTTGTCCCTTCACCTTTCTAATTTTGACTCTATACACTTGTGTTATTTATTTGTACTCATACTTTGTACTTTGACCTAGTTTCCACTTTTTATGGGATTCCTTTTTTATTTTTACATCATTCAAGATCTCCTGCCAGGGTGGTCTCTCGCCATGCATCTTATTTTTTCTATGCAATAGAAGAGTGTCCTCTTGCACCCTTAATAATATCCCTTTTAAAAACTGCCATCTGCCTTCATTATTTTCCCTGTTAGTCTTGCTTCCAAAGCAGTCTTCCACTTTCAGATTTTTAACCAGTACCTCCCTATTTGCTAAAATCAGATCTAGAACAGCTTCCCCCTACTAGCTTTCTTCACCTTCTGAAATAAAAAAAATCATCTCTAAAATATTCAAAACATAGTTTGATTTACAAGCGACTTTGTTTGAAAGACATTGTGCTGAAAGCATTGAGTTCACACTGTATATACGATAAAGAACACATACTCAATGTCTTTGCTACATTGCACTTTGTTACTAATGCTTTAAGGTTAGTAACTTTTAGTCCAAGTACTAGACATGTTTGGTTATTTTACATTTGCAACACAAGACTTCTAATACTCTCTTTGACCCAATGATTAAGGCCTATGTAAGGGACTAGTGATTTTGGGTGTCTCTAGGGGTGTGTCTAGACTACATGGCTCCATCGACGGAGCCATGTAGGTGAGGCAGGACGACAAAGGGAAATGAAGCAGCGATTTAAATAATCGCCGCTTCATTTAAATCAAAATGGCGACTGCGCTGTGCCAATCAGCTGTTTGTCATAGAAACATAGAGCTGGAAGAGACCTCAGAAGGTCATCTAGTCCAGCTCCCTGCTCTAGGCAGGACCAATCCCAACTAAATCAACCTGGCCAGGGCTTTGTCAAGCCGGCACAGCGCGGCAGTCTAGATGGGGATCTGCTGACCCCAGAACCTTTTGTCGGCAGATCCTGTTAGCCTCGTTTCAGCTGTGCCGACAAACAGCTGATCGGCACAGCATGGTGGCCATTTTGATTTAAATGAAGCAGCAATTATTTAAATCGCTGCTTCATTTCCCTTTGTCGAGTAAACCAGACATACTCAATATCTGGATGTCCAATTTTTGACACCTTAAAGAGGTCTTGATTTTCAGATGATAGCTAGACAAGCACTTTCTGAGGATTGGGCTCCTTTAAGATGTCTCACATTTGGGCACCCAAAAAACAAAGGCATCCAAAAATTAGTCACTTCTGACAATGTAAGCTTAAATCTTTTCCCCCAAGCTACTGCTTTATTTGCATATAGGAACTGAATTATGTGTGGATACACTTTTGAAGAGAACTTATGAAGAGAATTTTGGCCTGAATTAGCTTTCCCTGGTTAAACATCTATCACAAGGCCCAGGCAATATTAAACACAATTTGTATTCAACTCACATTATGATCATTTTCATCATTTTGACTTTGACAGTTCAGTTGCTGAGTCAGCCAGCATATGGCTTGGAGAGGCAATTAGCCTTTGTTCAAGTTATTTTAAATGATCTATTATTGTTACCTCTCAAATCAAAATACATACAAGTGGAGCAGAAATAAATGTATGGCATCAACCCACAACTTATAGTGAATTTTGGTCACTTTTCAGCACTGAAGGAAAAAAAGGGATAGGTTGGGCATGGGATATGTTACATGTGAAACACTTAACAACCTTCCTATCAATACAATGCCTATATTGCCCCTCAGCTCTTGACTGCCAACATTTTATTGAGGTAGCATATATCTTCCACTGTGTGAGGTTGCAAAGGTGGAAGCTAGATCAGACAAGTGCAAGCCTCAGAAGAGAAAGCTTCACAGTGAGGGTGGAGACTATCAAACCACTCTAGTGATGCTCATGCAATCCAGTAAAGGAAGTGAGGTAGAAACACATGCAGTACCTTGTGATCTCAGAGTCAGGGAGCAGGCCTATGTGGTAGTGGGGATAGGGAGCTGTAAGAAGGAAGCTTTTGTCACACTCGACAGGGGAATAGTGCCTAGGAGAAGGTGGTTTATCACACAGTTTGTTCACAGTGCTGTAAACGGGTTCAGGAGGCCTGGTGATAGAGACAAGAGTAAAAAATTAGATGTGCAGTAACATGCAAGAACATAGAAATTAGATAGCAATCTGAATATAAAAGCATGCAAAGAAAATCTATCAACATTTTTAGGAGAACTTTTGGTCAGTACATGGTGATGATAACTCAGAAATTGGAACTTGGTTAAACAGTGAGATTGCATACAAGACGGCTATAAAAAAGGATGAAGGTAAAATACATGTCACATAAAGTTGTCTCATTGTCTGTGATTCTGACTGAAAGGGCACATCCTACCTTATAAAGATGTAAAAACAAAGGCATCCAAAAATTTGTCACTTCTGACAATGTAAGCTTAAATCTTATAAAGCTCACTCATGTATTTTCCCAATGGGTCTGTTCTTTATACATATTAAAAATAACACACACACAACTGTCTCACCTTATCAATAAAGTGTTGCATCCATACTCAATATAGTAGACGAAAGTGTGTCTATAATTCAGCAAAATGATGTTTATTTTCTTTTGCTTAAATTCACAGATGAAGGACATTTTTTCTGAAAACAACACATCATAGAATCCAGAATGGATTCCAAATGGAATAATGGTCAAGATGTGTCAACACATATTTGACACACACACTGGGATAGACACATCATAGTATTATATTAAGTACTGGGTACGGTTATTGTGCGATGCTATTTGTACTGTATTCACACGCAGTAACAGTGTGGCTTGGATTGTCAAAACCACAGATATTCTAAATTAATGGCAACATCTGTTAAAGTTAGTATGGCACCAAGAGCCTGATCCTGCAACCATGAAGTCTCAGAACAGTCACAAATTTGACTAAATAGATGATAAACCTCATAAGCACAACATATGAAAGCTGCTGAGAGAGGCAGCTGCACTGCTGGAAGCATTCACACTGCGAGGAGGGCAATACTTCCACTGCTCCCACGGGAAATCTGCCAGCAAAAGACTCTGAGAAATGCACTGATCTGCTGCATCTACACATCTTGGATTTTTTACCTGCTCCACTTTGTGGGTTCTACTGGTTAACTATCAGCCTGCTGACAGAGTGGTGATTGCAGGAGGTTTACACACTAAACCCAGACTTTGAGAATACAACAAACCAGTCAGTGCTTTTATCCCAGGTTCTGCCAGTAGACCCACTATATGAAACTTTAATACCTAACCTGTACAGAGTAAGGTACGGGAGCTCTAAAAATAGTGAAATTTTATAAAGAAACCATTTTAAGGTATCAACAGACTTTGAAGGCTCAAAAACATGAAATCAGCCAAACAAACAGCTCTTCTTTAACAATGTGAAGCACTTACAGCATCATTTGTTTGCCATTATTTTGCATGAGTACTGGAATCTCATGAGAGTAGTGTTATAAACACCCCATTTGCAGAGCTATCTACATTGCAATTCAGCTGTGCCTGCATCCTGCACCTTTGAGCAAAGTATTATGGTAATGGTGCCTGTTGGGCTTGTGCATCACTCCACACATTCTTGTATCCTGCTCTTACACTATATGGAGCTGTATGGGTGAACTGTCCTCACTTCCTTCTCCCTCACAAAGTTCCACAAAGCAGACTGAAGCAGAGTGGAAGGAGAGTAGAGAGTGGAGTAACCAGAGGGCGACATATCTGCAAGAACTCCAGTTACTGCATAAGGTGAGTAACCTCTTCTTCTTCTTTGAAACGTGTCCCTGTGGTGCTTCACTGCAAGTGACTTCTGAGCAGATCCCCCTACTCCCCCACCAAGGGAGCAGGAGATTTGGAATAGAGTCCAATACAGAAGAGAGAACTGCATTGCCTACAGGAGCACCTGATCTCACTTCAGCCACCAATGCATAATGATTGGAAAATTTGAACAGAGGACCAAGTTGCTACTCTACAGACATCTGCAACTGCTCCATCCTTCAGTAAGGCTATCGAGGTAGATACTGCTCTTGTGGAATGTGCTATCATCCAGTATGGGGGTAGGATGGGGCATCGGTCCTGCACTAGCCCTTTAAGGATTAAAACTGGTACCAGAAAGAGGGATGGAGCGGTGGAGCTGTGGGGCAAGCAGCTGAGTCAGGAATTAGCCAATTAGGGCCCAGCTGAGGGCACTATAAATAAAGGCTTCTGGAGGGGTAGAGACAGCCACATTCTTGTTCTGGCTGTGCAGCAGGAGAGACCTGGTTGTCAGGAAAGTGGGAGGCTTCTGAGACAGGGCAGTGCTGGGAAGAGGCAGGCAGAGCTGGGGAGCTCTGCCCTGATCTCACTCCCAGGCTGTAGGGATTGAGACAAGGCCTGAGAGAACTAGGGCGACAGAGAGGCAGCCAGGGAAGGCAAAGGTCCACACCCTCTTACCAATGATGAGTGGCCATTTCAGACAGTAGTTTACCCCTGAGGTAAAGAGCTAGATGAAGACTGGCAGTGTGTCACTGAGGCAAGGAGGGCATAGGGGTTTGGGGGTTCCCAGAGGGGGAGGAACCCAGAGTGCAGAGACATGGGGAGACACCAGTCAGAAGGAGGTGCTCCAGCATCAAAAAGCTAATTCCCTAAGTGCCCAGCAGGAGGTGCCCACAGTGGTGAGCCACATCACCTTAGAGGGGGGTTGCACATGAGTTAAGTTGTAACAGATCCTAATACATATGATGATCTGCTTTGATAAACTCTGGTTTGAAACAGCTGAATACTTGTTTCTGTCTACCGCAACAGATTCATATCACATAGGCAATCTCTTAAATGGTCCTTTCTACATAAAGGGTTAATGCCCTCCTGATAATTTAGGGTATGGAATATGGTTTCTTTAGTCGTTGGGAGTGGTTTTGAGGGAGAAAAATTGAAGATAAATATTCTGAGGACAACTTAGGTAAAAATCTTGGCTGGACCCATAATGATACTTTCCCTCTGATGAATACTCTGCCATTAAAGCTCCCAATTCTCCAACTGTTTGGGCAGAAATGATAGCTACAAAGAAGGCTAACAGATAAATCTAATAAATGAAACATAGATAGTAGCTCAAAAGCAATTAAGGAATAAGTTGAGGTCCCAGCTAGGAGTGGGATTTCTGGCTGTGTGAAAAGCTGTTATTCCTGCTAAGTGTATGCTAATACAATTCACAGACAGACCCAATGTTTTCACTTCCAACAGCTAATCCAATATCCTGGGAAAAAGAGAATGAGTCAGTGAAATTTGCTGACTGTTGCACCAATGATAATAGCTTTTCTATTTCTAGAAGTAAATATTTCTTGTGGAGTCTTTTCTGCCATCTAATAATAGGTGTTGTACCTCTACTGAATAGGATACTTCTACTCCCAGAAACCATCAAGAAACCATGCTTGAATGCCTCAATCTGCAAATTGATGTAAAGTGTTTGATCAGCATCCTGAATCACTAGGTGAGGAATGAACAGAAATTACCACAAAAGGCTAAAAGTGAGTCTGATAAGATAGGGATACCAAACTTGTCTTCACCATGTTGGTGCGAACGATATGGCGTTGTTCCAAGCTTGTTCGATCTTGTTGAGAATCTTTAACATTAACAACATCTGAAAGTATACAGAGAAATATCTATAAAATCCACAAAGAGTTTGCAATCTTCAACGAGGAGGTCTTCAAAGGTACTCTGTATCTCTCTTGAGAAGTCCAACTGCTGTTACCAAAGTGCTCTTCTCATGACCACTGTAGTGGATGTAGACAATGGTGCAGTAGGAGCAAGGAGGCCTGGAGCAATGTGTAATGGCTTTAAAATCATCATGATGTTCCTCTAGTAATGGCTCAGTAAACAAATTTAATTTGCTATGATTCAAATAGTGGTATTTGACCAGGCGTGTAGTTTGCTATTCTGAATCAAAGCATGACTAAAGAATAAAATTGGGGTCCAAAACACATCTAGTCTTTCATAGTCCTTGGGAGGACTTTGGGCTATTTTGCCCAAAATATTCATTAATGACCTCCAATATTAGAAAATTCAGAGCTGGATGAGAAAACAGAAACTCTGACTCTGGCAGGGATATATTACTTTTTATTCACCCTCTTGCAGTACCTGGGATTTAGCAAACAAATTCAGTGGGCTCCGTAAGAGCTTCATTGACTGAAATGGCAATCCTCAAGATATTAAAATGTGCAAATATAAACGAGGTTATGCAGGGATTATGTCTACGATTCGCTCAATCACTTCTTGAAACTGCATGAAGTCATCCACTATGGAAGGCGGTCAAGTCATCATAGTTTCATCAGGAAATGAATGAATCCTCTTATTTGCCTTTGCTTCTTTTTCCTGGAAGAATTCTTTCTTTGGCAAAGGTGATAGTATAGAAGGTTGAGGAGAAAAATGAGGAGTAAAATTAGTTCGAAGCAAGGGGTTTGATTCGAACTAATGCATCCTGGAGTATACTTCCTGGTTCGAATCAGCTGTTGAGCAGAATAACGCGTGGGTGAGATTATGCTAATGAAGCGCGAGATATTTAAATCCCCGCTTCATTAGTAATTTTGGTCAGCTACATTTGCATCCCTAGCTCGAACTAGGAAGCAAGTATAGACGTACCCTAACATAATGCAGGAGGGCCAAGTGACACCCATGCTGCAATTATAGAATACGATAGCAAACAGGCAAATAGTAGACTCTTGTCTTGGCCAAAAGAAGTTGAGAAGAAACTGAGGGAAGCTCACCCAGGGTACATCTACACTGCACCGCTATTTCAGGATACTGGAGATATCCCGAAATAGCTACCCCATGTCTATACAAACCGCCTGTTATTTTGAAATATTTTTCAAAATAACAGGCACACTATTTCACTATCCCAGTAAACCTCATTGCACAAGCATTAAGGATGGCTCAAAATAGCACGTTATTTCTAAGTTTGGCTCTGTGTAGTCACGTCAAATTTCTAAATAAACTATTTCAAAATAGATTCAAGATAAGATACACAATTTGCATAGCTCAAATTGTGTATCTTATGTCTAGTTTAGGGTGTTGTGTAGATGTACTCCCACATAGCCTCAGTGCAAAGCATGAGG